CATCTGACGTTAGCCATGTTCTATTTACAGCAGGTCGACCTTGGATGTTATTGTTGTTATTGTTAGTTGTGGTGGTCCCAGAGCCGCTGGTTTCCATTTCGCCATCATCTTCCAATACAGTATATCTGTACACACTTTCAGCAAATATAGGAGCGTGATCGTTAATGTCAAGCACATTAACTCCAACAACCTGATTGGTCACATGATCAGCCAAGTCACGACACTCAATATTGACCTTGATTTTGGCGTTCATCTCACGATCTAACCGACTGTTTGTATAGAGTCGGTACTCATTACTAGTGACATCCTGCTGAGACAAACGAAATAGATTTGCTCGCGGACCGACCAAACTGCATCTCACCATTTCTGAGCCTCGATAATCTGGATCGCTTACTTCAACTAAGGCGATCAGTTGCCCTGCAGGATCGTTTTCAGTCACCGCCACTTCTACTTCACCTTGTCCGAATTCTGACTCTTCACCGTTTACCTGCCAAACGTGAACTGGATGAACACGGATTTCCGGAGCTTCGTCGTCGACATCTTCCACTCGCAGTTTTACTGTTGCCGTGCCCGTTTTTGCGTAAGCAGTCTCAGCACCATCGACTGCTTGAACCTGAAACGAAATCAACTTTGTGGGCAGTACAAATTTCTGGTCTTCGCTTGAAACAGATGCGGTTTTACTTTTGTGATCAACATCTAACTGCTGTCGAACTCTCAACTCTCCAGTCGGGGTGATTTCAAAGAAATGTCGTAGCAAACTGAGCATAGGAGATGGAGCGAATCCATAGTGGATTTGAGCATTAATACCATCGTCCGCATCTGTCGCGTGTAACTGAACCAAGACCTGGCCGACCGGGACATTCTCAGGTACAACACCGACTTTTTGATTATTCAGTTGGGGCTCGTATTCGAGACGTGAGAACTGAGGAGCGTTGTCGTTCACATCAGTGATGTTCACATGCACAAGAAGTTGACTACTTAGCATATGAGGTCCCTCCGTGTTTGAAGCAATGATTTGTAAATCCCATCCTTGGGGATTCACTTCACGATCGATATCTCTTTTGGCGCGTAACGAGAGTCTACTACCTGTTAGTCCATTCTCGGCCGATTCCTTAGTCAGCTCAAACATGTCGGTGGCTCTGAGTTGATTGGAACTATGACGTCCATGCCCGGAGCTATAACCTGACTCGACCGGCACTGATCCGGACATATGCATATCCTGAATTCTGTAAGTAATCACAGCGTTAAGACCTAGATCAGGGTCAGCAGCAAGGGGAATAGGACGCTTTGTCCCGGCTGGATCACCATCCCGGAACCAAACTACAGTGGATGTCTGCGACCATTTAGGTGCATTGTCGTTGATGTCTTGTAGATGTACATGGACAGGATGAATTCTTTGAGTGCCCTCCTGATCGGTGGTTACACGTAGAACAATAACACAGTTGGTTTCACTCAGCCCGTTTTTGCCTACAGTGGAATGAATCAAGCCGATATTGCTACTAGTTGTTGGACTGGTGTCAATGAAAAAGTCTGTTTTACTGTATTCCGAAGATGAATCCAAGCCAACACCACTGTCAGCCGTGTTAGGACAGATTGTCTCTCGATCTAAACGTCCACTGACGACCAGTTGCCAACTCGATCCATGGGATGCATCTGTAGTTGATGTGAGTGGAGCCTGTCTGAATACCAGACTGGTCACACCAGGATCTTTCCGGTTTAAAATACGCGGAGGAATTGATCCCGAATATAGCTGAATTGAACCCAGTGCATTGCCCGAGGCGATCACAGTACCTTGTCGAGCTTCTTCGGTCACATACACATGTATATCTTCGGCGATGGATCCAGCAAGGGAGAGAATAAATTGAAAAACCACAGCCAATTGACTTGTTCGCCGCATCAAGAAAGAATTGGATATTCTGAATGAAGTCACTCCGGCGAAGAATCCGGAACGAAACTCTGTTTTGCTTTTACAAAGTTAAACCGGAAATCATTCAATGAATGAACCACGGAACACGTGGTGAAGAATGCTGTGAACCAAAAGAAAAAGAGGATTGACATTATTAGATATCGCTCTGATTCACTTAGTGCTTACCCGCTTTGGTGAAAGAATAAAAATTGAATCATATATAGGCAGAGTTAAAAATAAAACGTTCTGGCTCCCTCTCGGTGAGTATAGATAGCAGTAAGCTCTGTATTAAGTTTGCTTATCACGTTGTGCACGATAGAAAAATCAAGATATTACATTTTCACGTTACATCTTAATAGTAGTAGTGGCGTAGTAGTAGTGGCGTAGTAGTAGTGGCGTAATGGTGGGACGAGGAGTGAGAGGAGGAACATTCATCTTTATTCCACAGACCTTGTAAAAAGTGGGGGAATTGTTTGTTGAAAGAAATAAAGACCTACGGGTAAAATTGTTTTGAATTGAAGAAAGGATACCATCTGAAACAAAGGACGGGCCCATTTTCATGCAGAATCCTAAATCGTTTCTGATAGGGTTCAAAATTTTGTTTGTGTATTTTGCAGCAACATCAGTAGTAAACGTTTAAGAAACAACAACTGTTGCACGGCGTATCTGTTCGGGGAAATAGTACACACTCACTTTCAGTCAAATATGGATGAGCAGATAGGCGTTCACACTGTAAACTTGTTGCTTGCAGCTGTTGGATAAACCAATAAGCAGGAGGTCATGTTAGGTCCCCCCTCCCTATGCCTAGAGATATTGAGGTCCAATCTGGAAAAATGTAGACTCAAGTGTATCAATAACTACTAAAAAACGATGATTCTATTTTAAAATTCTTTGAACGTCAAAATAATCATTATTTGCGATACACGCATTTTAGGAATTATTTTTTTCGTGATAGAATGATTTTCGTCCCTTGAAACCATCGCGTTTGTCACATTATGTGCTTTATTCACCAAGAATGATAAAACCTGACAGTGTCAATGGCGAGAATTGTGCCCAGGATTGAACTTTTCATTGCAGCAGTGAATACGACGATCTCATAATTAGACCATAAATACGCAAAATACCTATTGCATCTGTTCACTATCAGACGCGTACCGGAACTGTTTGGCGACCCATGTTACTTTGCATAGTCTGCCGTATTATCGTATGACGTTCTGCCGAGTCACTGGGCTTTACTAATGATCACTTATGTCACAGTCAACCCGCTTCACACTTTGAGCATATCAAACTCAGCGGGTTGAAAGTGCTTAAAAATAAACAGGTCTGTTTCTCTCCTGATTTGTATCATGTCTCTTGCTTTCACTACAATCATAGCTTAAGCAACTCCATCGCAAAACTAAAATACTACTCTTTTTTCTGTACAAAAGATTTGGAAAGTGCTGTGTGCTTCACGTGAAGGAGACTGATAAGCAACCGTCCATGTGACCCATTTGTAATGCATATTTTCTCCTCAAATAAATTTATAATCACAGAGACACTATAGGTAAATTTATAAAAGAGTGAGAGATAGAATAATGAATCCTGGCCGAGAAATGCTGCATAAACCTTTCCTGTAGGTTCATATATTGTAATCATTAAAAATTTATTTATATTTCTTGTTTATCGCACCTGTTGGTAAAATACGTATATGGAGAGGTTTATCGTCTCGTAACAACACGTCTGACGCAATACTACCTAATGCCAACAATGAGCGCAATCGGACCAGATGAAAAGTCAAAGAAAACATTACACCAGAGCGGCAATCTTCATACGAAGTGTGCGAAATAGGTTTATTACCTTGCGATTCAAGTAGCAGCTAATTCGGATAGTTAAACCGGTGAATCACTGCTGAAGAAAAAGTTAGAGGGAAGGTCATTCGATGTAAGCCGGAATTATCTTTCGAAAAGTTATGGATTTTCATACCGCTTTGGTTAGATCTCATTTAGAACACTGTGTTCAGCTTTCTTCACAGTTCCTAAAAAAAACCACCCGTCTCAAGGGACGTCAGTGAGTTGTAATAAGAATAACAGAATGTCAACCAGATAAGAACTATAAACAGAAACCTAATGATTTTGAAGTTTTCACCGTAAACTAAAAGGTTTTGAGGTTCTACAACATAGAACAAGGAGTTAATTAAGAGGCTATCTGGCCTTGGTTCAGAGAGCCTGTTTAAAAGGCCTTGGAAACTTGAAGAAGTTGTTATCTAAGGCAGCCGACATAGCTCCGCTCTAGACTGATCTCTAGGTTTCGCTTCTTTCGTAACAGGTTAGCAGGCATATGGAACAGCGAATGGAAGTGATAGAGCCAAAGACTAACCAAGCCTTCGGGTGTGCCCTTAGACGGAGGGAGTGGGATAGGGAATCAACCGTCCAGGTGAATCTTTAAAAACTCGTGTATTGGACAGCTGTGGAGTTCATAATAAAAGGTTTTCGGTCGCAAGCGTTTTGTTGTGTGATACATGCTGATCTGGAAAGCCAGCGCTCAATAGTAACATAGCCTCTCGTCACTGAGATGTAATGATCTGCAGTTCTAATTTGTCCTCCTCGGCTAGAACTGGCCAGTAATGGGTGACAAACGTTTGTATTTAGCACTGAAAGAATTCTGGCCATTCCATTGGCCGTACAACTTTAATATTGCGTAACTCGACTGAAACTGAAGTGCACTGACTGCATCCAATGTTTCAATTGTGGTACTTCAACAATACGGACGTATATCGAGCGATTAGAGTTGGCATCGCCAGAAGAACCTTAATTGGCGGTTCAGTTGGTAGTAAGTAGACTGTTTTAAAAGTTTATGAATAAATTAAAGAAATGGAACGTTGATTAGAACTGACCATCCTTCATACTTCTCCTTGACACAGGGTCCTCAGTTCTTCCAGTCAACCATACACTCAGAGGTACTAGACTCGAGCTTTACCTTCCATACGATGTGTTCGGAGTTCCAACCTAGGACAGGACAGTGGATATAAACTTCTGATAAGCTCTAATAAGAGTGAAACTGGAGTCTAGTGCTTCTGGGCGTATGGTTGACTGGAAGAACTGAGAGTTATGCGGGAAGGTAAAGTCTGAAGGATAACCAGTTCAAATCAGCATCAATTTTCGCGCACCCCTACTCACAACTAACTGCTAGTTAGATGCGAATGGTCTCCCTAGCATTTCATAACCCAGGCGCTATCAGCAAATTGTAAACATTTTATAGAACATCCGTTTCACATTGTCTTTTAATTACTACAGGTCACCTTAAAAACATTCCATTGAATCCCACTTCCAGTCCCATTGCATAACATTTTTCTTTCTGCTTCAAATACACAGCTGGTTACAATTACCAGTGGGTCTTCGTGTCTCAAATCCTGTTAATCAGTTCAATCTAATCGGTTTTCCAAGCAGAAGAAATTTATCCTTGGTTAAATAACCTCATGAACGCAAAAATTCACTAGATCTATCTGAGTCGGACGCAACAGGTACGAGTTCTTTCATCCCACAATCATTCCAGTCTAGAACAGGACGCATAGCCGATCATCCGGCTGGTATAAGAAAGAATCAAGCACAGCTGTTATGTGAAACACGTGTTTCAAACAGATGGTATCTCTGTCACACACCAGCCCTCCTGGCCTCTCTCTGTCTCTCTTGATCATTGTAGAAAAAATATTACAATTCAAACTGTGGAAACCCAACCTAGCTCATTATTGTACTTTAAATAAAATCATGTACAGTGAGTGTAGGAAGATTCAAAATATCGGAATTCAAAATTCTTCCTTCGTTTTTAAGGCTTATTGTATCACTTCAACAATATAAACATATGGTTGATCGATAAATCGATGGCTGATGGCACACACTATCCGCTGAGGCTGTTGTGACTGACGACGGTTCGACAATCGCGATTATTTCTACGTACGCTGCTCACCAGCTCGACAACCGCACACTGTGCTTTGTTTAGATTTAAAGCCGATGCTTGCGTGAGTGCCCCCGGGATGTGTATGGTGTGTACGCGCGTGCGGACTGTGTGCCATAATCGCGAATGTTCGACCCCGAATTGGCACATGCGCACTTCAGAGACGAATCTTGTCTGCGTGTTCATTCACACACACAGACTGAGACAAACGGAAGCTGGTCACAAATCGTTTGTGACTTGTATGTGTGTGCGTTTGTTAGTGTGGACAAGGGCTATACACGTGCGATAGTCAGAGCAACACGACGTACACTGATATGAATTATAAACCAACCCGCCAACCAACTAACAAATTTTACGACAGGGATACACGAAGTCCATTGGCATGTGTTTTGCTAGAATTAGGTCACCTGTGCACGCTCAAAGCTGCGTCACGTGTTTCAATACGAGCCGAACAGGTTCGAATGCCCCATGTTTGGATTGTACGTTGTGTGCAGTACGATGCGTAGTTGTAGTAGTCGGGGTCATCAAATGTCAACACTGATAAAATGAATTAATCAGCTACTGTTCGGTGTAATAGTTCATTCTGTTACAGAATGGATAGAATTGCTCCATATTTTTTATTCAGTCGGGTTTTACTTAGACAACAACATTACTGGCAACAATAGTCACAATTATGTCGCCAATGAACGCCTTACGGTTACAGTGTATTTAACTAAAGTAATATGCTCCACTTCGTCTGTTCACAAGCGTTGATGTCACCTAGGCTGGTGATAAAAAGCTTGCAAACAAACTGCCAAGCTCAGTGAACAGGCGAAGAGGAATTCAGTTCACTCGAGATACAAGAACCGATTTTCGATTCTTTCTTAACGTGATACGGTGATAAACGAAGAATCGCCATGTATATCTAAACAGGGACACAAGTATAATGTTTCCTCAAAAATAGTTAATATATCATTTATTGTTGTATATGTTTATGTTCAATATTCCCCCATAGAATGTGGGTCCAAATTCGTGTGTGAACACTGAAGCCAATAACATCCCCGGTAAAGAGTACACATCCG